TGACCCTGGAGGACATTATGCTGAGTGAAGTATCTCAGTCACAAAAGGACAAATACTGCGTGGTGCCACAGTTGTAAAACAGGACTGACATCGGGGTGGGGGGGGGAAACTGAGAAAGATGAGCTCAAAAATGTATACTGCATTGAAACAGATGAGGGAGAAAACTGTTATTAGGTATTTTTGTCATGACAGGAGTCCAGAGTGAAGGCTATATAGTGGAATGGACCTGGGGTGAGGGGTTGTAAAACAATGAAAGAATTTTTCTTTTACTTTTCCAAGAGGGTAGTGTACTAGGGGGGAGGGTTGGGAGGAGAGAAAAGAGCAAAAATGAATGGATGGAAATAAAAAAAAAAAAAAGAAAAGAAAAAGAAAAAAAAGGGCCTCCATCATGAAATATTTTCCTGAATGAAGCATTTCCTGAATAAAACCAGTTAAGATTTCAAACCAGACCAAAAAAAACAACCAAACAAACAAACAAACAAAAACAACCTTCAAGCAAAATCCACACCTCTAATACACACAAAACCAACTCAAAGTGGATCAAGGAGTTAGGAGTAAACCAAAGACTATAAACGTCATCAAAGAAAAGTGTGGAAGAACTCTAGAAGACCTTATCCACAGTATGAACAGTCTTCCAAGAATTATGGAAAATGTCTAACTAGGATAGAATAAAATAGATGAACGGGACCTTCTAATAATCAAATCCCTTTGCACGTAAAAAAACTTCTCCAACAGGAAAAAAGGAAATCCACAGACTGGGGAAAAATATTTGGCAATGACATATCTGATAAGGGACTCATATCTAAAATTTATAGAATACTCCAGAACCTCAACAAGAAAAAAGATAATCAATGCAATTGCAAAATGGGCACAGAATATGAATAGACACTTCACCAAAGAAGACATTAAGATGGCAAACAAACACATGAAGAAATGTTCAAAATCCTTAGCTCTAAAAGAGATGCAAATCAAAACCTTTTTAGATACTATTTCACCCCAGCAACAACAGCAGAGTTCAACAGAGCTACAAACAATAAATGCTGGCGAGGACATGGAGAGATTAGAACCCTTATTCACTGTTGGTGGGAGTGTAAAATGGTGCAATTACTATGGAAGGTAGTCTGGCACTTTCTCAAAAAGTTGGAAATAGAAATACCATTTGACTCAGTAATTCCACTACTGGGAATGTATGCTAACGAAACCAGAGCTGATATATATATATATACACACACA